ATTTACGAGATTTCTCACATATTATTGCATATATAAATTCGGGTTATTTACTTTAAAACACACAGACATGAAATAATTTGTTTTATATTGTATGGTCAATGTATGTATTCAAGCCTTGACGACCAAGTCGCTTATATTTGTATTATGTGGCTTTGTTATGCACCAGAACCATACTCTTACGTTTAACACGACCAAAAAGAAGCTGGGCATACCATAAATTTGTCATGGGTGTAAATAGTACGTGAGTCATTACAGAATCCCAATTATTAGTTGATTTTAACACATATAAAAAATATTTTGCCCGTGTTGCCTGAACTTGAAACTCCTTATGTTGGCACAATTAGATAATTCTTTGTCATTGGGACTCTCATGTATGTGTTTATCCCTTCATTGATCATCTTTTTTTAAATTGATAATTTTAAATAAAAAAAGGCCATTAAGTTGTTTATGTTATCATATTATAACTAATTGACATTATGGTACAGTAGATAACACATGAGTACTGTAAGGGAAAACCTCAAACCGGAATTTAAATATTATTATTTGCTAGACTCAGCCTACTCAGAGACATACATAATACATGAGTAAATCCTATCATATATTTAAATTCCCGGTTTGAGGTTTTCTTCGATATAACCGTGATTCTGATAACCTAATTTGTTTCATGGGTGAACATTTGTATGATCGGCTGATGTAAATCATTTTTCACGCAGATTTATTATCGTGGTTTGATTAGTGAAAAATATATTAAATTTATATAATTAAAATTTGTCATATTTCTTTAAAAAGGAGTACCCTTTTTTTATTTGGAAAAAGTTTAAATATAATCTAAGACACCAATCCTAGATGAAACCATTCAAAAAAAGATCAATATGGTTTAGTGTGGTCACTTGAGATCATAACCAACTTTATACCAAGGTAGTCATAATGTAATTGTAATAGTAAATTTTATAAGTCATAATAGGTCATAAGGCCATAACCTACAATTAACCAATAGGTCATAACTGGACATCATTTCAGAGTGCGCAATAATTGCAGATATATTAAAGAATTGAAGTATGACGGTATGCTATGATTATCTATGTTATTAGCATTCTTGAAGTAAATAATTATTCTGCATTTTGAATGAAATTTAATTCAAAATAACAAAATCAAAATCTGGTAAGTACATAAAAACCAAACGTCCCAACACTTATTAACATATTATTTATTTCGAAATTTCATCCATAACTTTAATCCTGGTATCTTCATCTCTTGGCATACTATATTTCCAATAATACAACCTCAGACACTGCCTTGCACTTCTAGTTCCAACATCCTCACTGATATTTCTCCACAAATCCATCCATTCTTCAATTTCACATAAAGTCCATTGTTTAGAATGTTTTTCTAACGCAACTTCAAACTTCATAATTTCATCATCAGTCCAAACACCAGCATTAACTTGTTCTTTACCAACATTGTTCTCAATAGAAGAATTATTCCGAATTTTATGAGTATCATTAACATTTCCACCTATGCCATATTGTTTCCAATTATGTTTAACTTCTTCTAAAGTTCTATCGGGAAATTTTTCACCAAATATTTTCATAATCAAATTCCATTTATTATCAAAAATTTTTATTTTTTCATTTCCAAGGTTAACACCCATAATTTGTTTGATCGCATAATGTAAATGTGCATTTTCCTCAGGTGACCAAGTTTTACTTGTTATCCACATATATCGATATGAAATGTTATAATACGGTCTACCTAAAATTTCGGAAAGTTTATGCCAATCTTTTCCATAAGTTTTTATTAGTCTTAAAAGAAGATCGTCCTCTTGTTGTGTCCATCTCATACGCGGTTTCTTTGGTTTGGAAGCATTCGAAACATTCTTTGTCCAACGGCCTGATGATGATCTTGTTAATGTGTTTGTAAATTCGGTATTATCTATTATACAATTTTGAGTAATGTA